AGATGTTTTAATGAGTTAGCAAAGTCGTTATAGCGAGTTAGGTAAGCTTAGTCGTAATAACGTCTTACAAATAAAACAAAACCCTGACACTAACCAGCTTCCGTAGGTTTCTATGAAGTTAAAAACTTAAAGCTGTAAAAATTGAAAAATTTGGTTGATTATATAGGGGTTTTGAATTGGTGGTCTGACAACTTATTAGTCCCCTACCAACGAAGTTGAAAGGGACATTATGTTTGCACTCCGTCCATCTGTCTGTCTGTCTGTCTGTCCATCCGTCAGTCTGGCAAATAATTTTTCCACATTTTTTTTCTTCGTGCTTGAAGATAATGATTTGATATTTGGTGTATTGTTTAATTATGACAAGTTACAGATCGAGTTCGAATTTTGTTCCGGTCTGACGATTTTGTGCAGAGTTATGGTCCTTGAACTTAGAAAGTTCACTCAAATAATCAGTTTTCCGCACTTTTTTTTGTCATGTTTGAAGATATTGATTTGATGATTGGTATATAGCTTTATCATGACAAGTTACAGATCAAGTTCGAATTTTGTTACGGTCTAATGATTTTGTGCAGAGTTATGTTCCTTGGTCTTAGAAAATTCACTAAAATAAACAGTTTTCTGCACTTTTTTTCGTCATGCGTGAAGATATTGATTTGATAATTGGTATATAGTTTTATCATGACAAGTTACAGATCAAGTTCGAATTTGTTCCGGTCTGATGATTTTGTGCAGAGTTATGTTCCTTGGACTTAGAAAATTCACTCAAATAATCCATTTTCCACATTTTTTTTCGTCATGCTTGAAGATATTTGAAGACATATTGACTTGATATTTGTTATATAGTTTACACCATGACAAGTTATAAATCAAGTTAGCATTTTGTTCCAGTACAATGAATGTTTAACCGGTAGGGGACTATGTATTGCCAGCCAATACTCACAGAATGCTTGTTTACTTTTTACTTATCATCGTTCCCGTTTGGATGGGTCCATTTCATAAATGAGGATGAAACAGCATCAAAACAAACACAAATTACAGTAACTTGAGGTGAATTCTACTTCACAGATTTTATGCCCCCGCCGTATTGGACGGGGCATTAAGTTTTACCCTTGTCCGTCTGTACGTAAGTCCGTACGTACGTCCTAAAGTTGTTTCCGTTCTCTAACTTAAGTTTACCTCAACCAAATGTTATGAAACTTGTACACAATGCTTATTACCACTAAATACAGATCAAGTTTGAATTTTGGTGGCGTGACTCACTTTTACCGTTCTAGAGTTGTGCCCCTTTACAAATGGAAAAATTGCTAAATTTTTCGTTTCCGTTCTTTAACTTAAGTTTGCCTCAACCAAATGTTATGAAACTTATACACAATGTTTATTACCACAATATACAGATCAAGTTAGAATTTTGGTGCCGTCACTTGTACTGCTCTAGAGTTATGCCCTTTACAAATGGAAAAATTGCAAAAGATTTAAAGTTGGAGTTATCTTCCTTTTTACATGATTATAGTTGAATCAACTACAATCAATGCTTTATACAATGCAATGTTTAATTTTACCTTTCACTGATAAATTAAAGCAATTTTTAAATTTTTTCAAAAAATTTTGCGGTCGTATATTGGTATTACGTTGGCGTCGTCGTCGTCGTCGTCGTCGTCGTCCGAAGACACATTGGTTTTCGCTCTCTAACTTTAGTTTAAGTGAATGGATCTCTATGAAATTTTACCATAAGGTTCAATACCACAAAAGGAAAGTTGGGATTGATTTTGGGGGTTATGGTACCATCAGTTAGGGAATAAGGGGCCAAAAAGGGGTCAAAAATAAGCATTTTTGTAACTTCCAGACATAAATTGTGTGTAAGTGTATGGATCTCTCTGACATTGTACCACAAGGTTCCATATCACAAAGGGAATGCTGGGATTGATTTTGGGGGTAATTGCCTCCAAATTTTAGGAATTAGGGGCCAAAAAGGGGCAAGAAACAAGCATTTTTCTAGTTTCATGACAATAACTTGTGTGTAAGAGTATGGATCTTTATGAACTTGTGCTACAAGGTTCCATATCACAAAGGGAAAGCTGGAATTGAGTTTGGGGGTAATTGCCCAAAACGTTTAGGAATAAGGGGCCAAAAATAAGCATTTTTCTAGTTTCCAGACAATAACTTGTATTCAAGTGTATGGATCTCTCTGAAATTGTACTGCAAATTACCATACCACAAAGGGAAGGCTGGGATTGATTTTGGGGGTAATTCCTTCAAAATTTGAGGAATTAGGGGCCATAAAAGGGCAAAAAAACAAGCATTTTTCTAGTTTCAGGACAATAACTTGTGTGTAAGTGTATGGATCTTTATGAAATTGTACTGCAAGGTTCCATATCACAAAGGGAAAGTTGGTTTTGAGTTTGGGGGTAATTGCCCTAAATGTTTAGGAATTGGGGCCAAAAAGGGGCCAAAAACAAGCATTTTTCTAGTTTCCAGACAATAACTTGTGTTCAAGTGTATGGATCTCTCTGAAATTGTACTGCAAGGTACCATACCACAAAGGGAAGGCTGGGATTGAGTTTGGGGGTGATGAATCATAAGGGGGTGCAAAAAATTTGGGAGGGGGGGATTTTTTTTTTCATTTTTTTTCTTTAAAATTTTCCGTTTGGTTATTTCTGATTTATATATAAAAGCAAATAATAATGATATGGTTTGAATAGGTAAATTAAAAATTTTTAAGTTCTTAGACCACATTCATTCTGTGTCAGAAACCTATGCTGTGTCAAATATTTAATTAAAATCCAAATTCAGTGCTGTATCAAACTTGAATGTTGTGTCCATACTTGCCCCAACTGTTCAGGGTTCGACCTCTGCGGTCGTATCAAGCTGCGCCCCAGCGGAGCATTTTATTAAATTTGGAGTTATCTTCCTTTGTCCATGATTATAACTGAATGAAATAAAATCAATGCTTTATACAATGCAATGTTTAATTTTGCCTTCCACTGATAAAACACAGATCAAGTTGAATTTGGGTTGTGTCACTTTAACCATTATTGAGTTATGCCCCTTTATAAATCGAAAGATTGCAAAATTTTTAGTTTCCATTCTGTAACTTAAGTTTGCCCCAAGCAAACATTATGAAACCTATACACAATATTCATTACCACAAAACTAAGATCAAGTACAATTTTTTTGTTTCCGTTCTCTAACTTTAGTTTGCCTCAACCAAATGTTATGAAACTTATACACAATGCTTATTACTACATAATACAGATTAAGTACGAAATTTTGTGGCGTCACTTTTACCATTCTAGAGTTATGTCTCTTTATAAACATAAAAATTGCTGAAACTTTAGTTTGTCTCAACCAAATGTTATAAAACATATACACAACCGTTCTAGAGTTATGCGTGTTTACAATTAGAAAAATTGCTGAATTTTTGCGGCTGTATATTGGTATGACGTTGGCGTTGCCGGCATCATCGTCCGAAGACACATTGGTTTTCTCTATGAAATTTTACCATAAGGTTCAATACCACAAAAGGAAGGTCGGGATTGATTTTGGGGGTTATGGTACGAACAGTTAAGGAATTAGGGGCCAAAAATAAGCATTTTTCTAGTTTCCAGACAATAATTTGTGGAACGGTGTATGGATCTCTCTGAAATTATAACACAAGTTTCCATACCACAAAGGGATGGTTAGGATTTGCTTTGGGGGGTTATGGCTCAAACAGTTTAGGAATTAGGGGCAAAAAAGGGGAAAAACAAGGTTGTCCTGGTTAATGGACAAATACTTTAGTACAAAACATAATTTAAAGCAGTGTAAGGGAGGTAATTCAAATACATCATTTGAGTTACCTCCCTTACACTGTTTTTAAATTATGTATAAAGTAATGGTTAATGAACAATTAAGACAATTTAAAAGCAGTGTAAGGGAGGTACTCCAAATACAACGTTTTGATTACCTCCCTTACACTGCTTTTAAATTATGTTTAAAGAAATGCACATTTATAAAGGAAGACCAGTAAAAATATCTGCAAATGTTGCATCTTTTTTTTTTTTACAAAAAAATCCATATGAAAGATTTGACACCATATTTTAAATTTTATTATAAAATAGATTAAGTTAGCACTATGGTAAATTTAAATTAAAAATAAGTAATTATGGTTGCAAACTCCATTGGAAATTTGAATTGAGATTATGACCATATCTTGAGGGAAAGAATTTTTTTTTGAGAAAAAAGGGTGTGGGGGGGGGGGGGTAAAAAGAAATTTTGGGGGGTCAATTTTTTCTGATTTCAGATTTCAGAAATAAAAAGAAAAATTCTTCAAATATTATTTTGTTTGCCAAAAAAAAGTGTGTGTGTGTGGTTAGGGGGGTGGGTTAATACGCAACAGCATAGTGTATTGCACAAAACCAAAAAAAATGGGGGTAAAGTTTTTATTTTTTTTTGTGGGGGGAGGGGGGGGGGGGTCAATTCGCAACAGCAAAGTGTATTGCACAAAAGCAAGAATTGAATATAAATTCAAATCATATAACCAATTCTAAGTTCTTTGACTACAGTTATTCTGTGTCAGAAACCTTTTATGTGTCAAATATTTAATTACAATCCAAATTCAGACCTGTATCAAGCGCGAATATTGCGTCCATTTTTGCCCCAACTGTTCAGAGTTGGACCTCTGCGGTCGTATCCAGCTCGGCGAAGCAATTTATTAGTTTCTGTTCTCTACTTAAGTTAGCCTCAACCAAATATTATGAGACTTACACACAAAACTCAGATCAAGTTCAAATTTAGCGTCACTTTTACCGTTCTTCAGTTATGTCCCTTTATAACTATATGATATGCAAGCGGGGGCATCATATGTGTCCACATGTGTCCACAATCCACATTTGTATTTATAGTTCAGGGATAATGAATTTGTTTTTTTTTTTGCAAATCTGGAAAAATGGGTTGGCGGATCCATTAAACAACAAATTAAAAAACCCTTCCTTACTTTATGATTTTGTATTTATATTGTTTAGAAATTAATGGAAGCAGTGGAAGAAGAAAATGCTGATGCTTTTACAGATGCTGTTAAAGAGTATGATAGTATTTCACGACTAGATCAGTGGACTACAACAATATTACTAAGGATCAAGAAAAATGTCAGTGATGAAGACTTGCGTTAATTTATATCATTACTAATTTTTCATTAATCATTCATGCAATTATGTTAATTTTTTTGTGATAATGATGTATACATAAATGTGTGACTATATGGAACTTTGTGATTACAATGATAAGTTGTTTATTACTGGTGTCACAATGGTCAAAGCATTCTTTTGATTTATAACTTGATTAAAAAAAATATGAAATGCATGGAAAATCTCAAATTAAGGTAGTATGGGAGTATAAACAATCAAATGATAGAATTTTTTCATACTTTGCCAAAATGTATTATACTTTGTGATATATTTAAAATTATAATAAAAATATAAAAATTCCATGTAGATTCCTTTATAGATTGTACAGTTCTTAATATGCTAAGTTGGAAAAAAAGAAATCAAGCAAAAGTAGTCTACCTTTGTAAAAATATTAGTAATTATTTTAAGATAGAATCAGTTAAATTGATCATTTAAAAAATTCTTATTAGTAGTTGCACTCCTGCATTCATATTACCTGACTTTATTGAATTGTGTTCTGCTATTTTACATACAAGATGGCAGAAAACTCCCATACAACCTTATATAGACAGACATGCACTGTTTTTGTAAAAGTATATTCCCCCTTCATGTTAAGAATGACAGGCTTTTGATATGTTCTGATAAAGATTATATATTCAAATTATTTCTTCAGTTTCATATGTACATTTAAATTTTTATACGACCGCAAAAAATTTTTGTGGTCGTATATTGGTATCACGTCGTCGTCGTCCGAAGACATTTGGTTTCCGGACAATAACTTTAGTATTAGTAAATAGAAATCTATGAAATTTAAACACAAGGTTTATAACCACAAAAGGAAGGTTGGGATTGATTTAATGGGTTATGGTCCTAACAGTTTAGGAATTAGGGGCCAAAAAATGGGCCCAAATAAGCATTTTTCTAGTTTTCAGACAATAACTTGTGGAACGGTTTATGGATCTCTCGGAAATTGTACAACAATTTTTCCATACCACAAAGGGATGGTTAGGATTGGCTTTGGGGGGTAATGGCTCAAACCGTTTAGGAATTAGTGGAAAAAACAAGGGTTTCCTTGTTAATGGACAATCACTTTTAAGTACAATGTTAAATTTAGATTACCTCCCTTACACAGCTTTAAAACTATGTATAAAGAAATATTTTTTTTTTGGGGGGGGGGGGGGCAATTTGCAACAGCATAGTGTATTGCAGAAAAGCAAAAAATGGAATATAAATTCAAATCATATAACCAATTCTAAGTTCTTTGACTACAGTTTTTCTGTGTCAGAAACCTATTATGTGTCGAACATATAGTTTCAATCCAAATTCAGACCTGTATCAAGCACGAATGTTGTGTCCATTTTTGCCCCAACTGTTCAGGGTTGGACCTCAGCGGTCGTATCCAGCTGCGCTCGGCGAAGCAATTTATTGAGTAATGTATATACAACTGAAAATGTATGGTGTTTTTTTTTCAGGAAAAATCCTTCCAATTAACATGTGTTGGTATCTCATTAATTTTCACCAAGATCTATTCATATTTATTATGGAGTCTGAGGTATATAGTAATCCCCATGTCAATATGTCTGTCCCTCCCTCCTTCACACTTTTGGATTCCAGATGATAGATAGAGAACAGTTTTAGCCCGATTTTGGCTATACTCTTTGGTTTATAAGCTATTCATTTTTTTATACAACCAAACAATTTTGCGGCCTTATGGTATAATAATGGTATGATGTTGTTGTCGTCATCGGAAAACATTTGGTTTCTAGACAACAACTTGAGTATAAGTGTATGGATCTCTCTGAAATTGTACCACAAGGTTCCATACCACAAAAGGAAGGTTGGGAAATGTTTTTATACGACAGCAAAATTGAATAATATGACGTTGTCGTCGTCATTGTCCAAAGGCATTTGGTTTCCAGATAATAACTTGAGTAAAAATGTATGGATCTCTATGAAATTGTACCAAAAGGTTCCATACCATAAAAGGAAGGTTGAGATTGATTTTGGGGGTTATAGCCAAAACCGTTTAGGAATAAGGGGCCAAGAAATAGGGATTTTCTGGTTTCTGGACAATTACTTGAGTATAGGTTTATAGATCTCTATGAAATTGTACCATAAGGTATCATACCAAAAAAGGAAGGTTGGGATTGATTTTGGGGGTTATGGCCCTGTTTGTTAAGGAAGAAGGAAAAAGGGACCTCTAACAATACTTTTCTAATACTTTGTATACATTGCTTATTTCTTGACCAATTTCAATTCAAAGGCTTGAATTCTTGGTGTTCTTTAATATGCTGAATCTAACCGTGTACAAAATGTATTAATATTTTGGATATTGAGCCCTGTTTTAAAATTGGTCTACATTGAGGTCCAAAGGGTCCAAAATTAAACTTTGTATGATTTCATCAAACATTGAATGCTTGGGGTTCTTCGATAAACCGAATCCAACCATTTATTTAGATTTTAAATTTTGGACCCCATTTTCAAATTGGTCTACATTAAGGTCAAAGGGGCCAAAATAAAACTTTGTTTGATTTCAAAATAAATTGAATTCTTAGGGTTCTTTCATATGCTGAATCTAACACTCTATTTAGATTTCGATTTATGAAAAATTGAGTCCTGCATTTTTTTTTAGTTTTAATCTCGGTACTGCCTTGTTATTTTTCACTTTATTCGGTCCTGCCTTTTTTTTTATTAATTTATACATAATTTGTCATCCTGCCTTTTTTTTTTTTGCCAAGTTGCTCATCCTGCCTTTTCTTTACTCAAAACTTCTGTCCTGCTTTTCAAATTTCATCCTAGCCCCCACCACCACCACCACCACCGCCACATAAAAATCAAATGGTAGCTCCCTTAGATTGATTGATTGTTGGTTGCTGATATTCTTTTCCTAGTAAACGTTTTATATACATAGGACTGTAATGATTAAACATACATCCTTATAAAAAAACTAAAATATCTACCACGAATGAATAGAGTTCTACTAAATGAGTCCATAAAAAGGTATATCATCAACAAAAACTTAATACGAGTGTCCGTAATATGCGCATGCCTGGAAGAGGAAGTAGGTCAAACTTTGGGCTCTCCGAAAAAATATAAATTTTCACTTAAATCACGACATTTTCTTTATCTAGATCATCGTAATAAATGTAAATTCAGAAAATACACATATTGGTCAAAAACTAAATGCTAAAATCTATTTAAATCCAAAACTATAAAAATTGTCAAATTTGACAGTTGCTACCGCTAAATATATCATGTGACCATCAAAAACCGTAAAACCGGAAGTAAACAAACTTGTCACGTTCTATCCAAAACAAAACAGGCTAAACCAAGAGACAGTTACCTTCACCCTTGAGTCGCCCAAGGGACGAAGATTAACTCTGTAAGTCTACCTGTATTTACATCCTTCTATTTTCTATTCTTTTACCAACTGCCACAAACAACATGAATACAATTAAAACTATACTTGCAACAGTCCTTCTATCGACTTGCATTGGAAAATCGTTAAATTTAGATATGCATACTAACTGCAACACTGTGATGGCAAAAAACACACATGTACAGCTTAACAGTGAAGCTCCAGATCGATCTTAATCAGTAACTTTGTCATCTCAAGAACCAAGTAAGTCAAACATTTCTACATTTATGCTTAATACACAGTCAAAGAAATCATTGATAAAATATGACAAACTAGTACTTATGTACTTGTGTAGTCTGCTACTTACCAACTCATATGCCCCTGAACCAAACCCAGGGCCACGTACACCAAAATACCCTTGCGGAACATGCAAACATGCAGTCACATGGAAAACAGAAGCTGTCTGCTGTGACAGCTGTGGACAGTGGTATCACATCAACTGCCAACAAATAAATCCCTCCATGTACGAAATATTAGGAAATAGTAACAACTCATCGGATTGCATCAACTGTGGCATGCCAAATTTTTCCACAACCTTTTTCAACACCACTATTGAGACATCAAACAGTTATTCAGAATTAGACATAAGTAATGAGCCAAATGGTGTGGAAAACATTGGTCCACCAAATTTTACATCATCACCATTATCAAAAAACCAGAGTAAATATAGAAATCACAAAAATAAACCTAATCCAGGTACATGTATAACACCACTGAGAACACTAACCATTAATTTCCAGTCAATGAAAAACAAGAAACCTGAAATAGAACAAATAATCGAATCTTGTGAACCAGACATAATTTATGGCACAGAAACCTGGCTCTCAAATGCAATATCACCATACGAGTATACATCACCATCAAAATACACTGTATACAACAAAAATAGAAAAGATGGATATGGAGGAGTACTACTAGCAGTCTCAAATAAATACATCTCATCACAAGTAAATGAATTTGACACAGACTGTGAAATAATCTGGGCAAAAATAACATCCCCAAACAGTAAAACACTATACTTAGGTGCATACTATAGACCACCTTCAGACAAAGGGTAATCATTAGAAAACATGGGTATCTCTCTTAATACTGCATGCAAGAAAACAAATGCAAACATCTGGCTAAGTGGTGACTTTAATCTAGGCCACATAAACTGGGAAAAACACTTGGTATTACCAAACAAACCTGATCCAGCATCACACCAACAACGGTTTAATATTCTGGACGATAATAACTTATCACAAGTAATTAACAAGAACACCAGAAATGATAGAACTTTAGATTTAATGTGCATGACAAATCCATCCTTTGTAAACAGAGTTGAGACCCTCCCACCTATAGGAGGAAGTGACCATGACATTGTCTTTTGTGAAATCAACTTTGCTATACCAACACCAAAACAACAACCACATAAAGCACTTATATACAAAAAAGTAGACTGGGAGAACATAAAGAAAGATCTCATACTAACATATGATTATTTAAAAGTAAACAAGACAAATATGACTGTCGATGATCTATGGACCACCTTTAAAACCAAAATGACAGAGACCATCAACAAAAGTATACCAACTAAAGTAATTGGGAAAAAATCAAAATTACCATGCGTAAATAGAGACCTAAAAAGACTCATCAGAAAGAAAAACAAACTCTACTAAAAGAAAAATCATGACTCTCTTACAAAAATAAATACAAAGAGATAAAGACCAAACTTCAAAAAGAGATGAGAAAAGCATTATGGGCATACATTGAAAATATGATCTTTGATATCGACATAAAAGAAGCAGACCAGCAATGCGTCAACAAACAACCCAAAAAGCTGTACTCATATATAAAAAGCCAAAGAAAGGAAAACACCGGCATTGCATCTTCAAGAAGCGAAGGTACCCTCCATACAAACCCCTCTGAAAAAGCCAACATATTAAACAAGTAATTTCAATCTGCTTTCACATCAGAAACTAATACAGAAATACCAACGAAAGAATCTAGTACACACCCTAAAATAGAACAAATTAACATCAGTCGGGAAGGTGTATACAAACTCATAAAAAACATAAACACCAACAAAGCTACAGGACAAGATACTATCGCTGGCAAAATACTGAAGGAAAACATCGAAATAACCTCAGACATACTTACAATCATTTTCGGCAAATCTCTTGAAACATGCAAAGTACCATCAGACTGGAACCATGCAAACGTTACACCAGTATATAAAAAAGGAGACAAACATCATCCTGGTAATTGTAGACCAATTTCACTTACCTGCATCTCATGTAAATTACTTGAACATATACTAGCTAGCAACGTGATGAAACTCCTCGAATCAGATAAAATACTATATGAACTACAACACAGATTTAGAGCAAAAAGATCATGCGAATCTCAAGTAATATCTCTTATACACCAACTAGCTCAAAACAATGATAAAAATATACAAACTGAATTGGTTATCATGGATTTTGCCAAAGCATTCGACAAAGTGCCACACAAATGCTTACTTTATAAATTAAAACACTATGGCATCTCAGATCAGGCAACAAATTCAATTCAATCATTTTTATCTAACAGAACTCAAAAAGTCCTTCTCGAAAACACAACATCTGAAAAAATTCCAGTAACATCAGGCGTTCCTCAGGGCACTGTACTAGGACCAATACTCTTTCTTATTTATATTAACGACTTACCTGACTACCTTAAACACAGCTAAATAAGACTCTTTGCAGACGATAGCATTATTTACCGGCCTATTACCTGCCAAAACGATTGGCTTAAGCTTCAAGAAGACATAGAAGCAGCTATAAAATGGGAGCAAGACTGGCTCATGTCATTCCACCCTGACAAATGTAACATCTTAAGAGTCTCAACAAAGAGAAAACAAATACATTTTTGTTATAACATGCATGGCCATATCCTAGAACAAGTACAATCAGCAAAATATCTAGGCATTACAATCTCTTCAGATCCTAAATGGAACAAACATATACAACAATCAGCAGCAAAAGCAAATCAATCTTTATCATTCGTCAGACGAAATCTAAAAATTAGTTCAAAATTAGTAAAGGAAAGAGCA